AAACACAGAGTTCAAGGCAACCGTGGGATACATGATATCCTGTCTTGACAACAAAATAAAAATCCAAGTATTTCTTTATTATACTATGCAGTGTCTCTGGCTGATCTTATCAGAGAATTTTAGAACTCTGGAAAGTTGTCATGGTACCCCACCCACTTCCCCACTGTTCACTTCTGGGGGAAAGGAGGAAAAGAGGGGAAACATGGCCAGTTGTGAGTAACACTGGATGGATGCTAGTAAGGCAAGAAAAGGATCGAGCTCCACAGGGGAAATGTTCTTGGTGGAAGGAGAGGATTGTCTGGGCTATCTACGAACACAGGTGCCCCAAAGCTGGTGTCTGTCTTCCCTCAGTCCTGTACCCCCAACATCCACTGTAAGCCTCAGACCTCCTTGAATGGACAGTTGGGCTATTCTCTGGTGTGCATCAAGAGACTGTTTTTGGCTTCCAACTACAGTTGCCTAGAGTGATGGAGAGACTCTTTGGGCCTAATAGACATGGCATGTTTTAGATAGCCACTTGAAACACAAGCTGAGATTTTATTTAATAATGACAGTGTTTTGTGGATGATGGAGTCTTTGACTTGAAAACAGTCCCAAAGATGCCCTCTCTTTGACCTCAGGATCCTCAAATAATAGAATAATTACCAGAGCAGAAGCCATTCTTTTCTTTTTCTAGACGTCCAAGTCACGCTGCAAGCATCTGGAACAGACACTGGTAGCTTCTAGCCCTCAGGCTGAGGTTAGCCCAGGGTGGGTACTGTGGCTTTTCTAGTGCTTACTTGCAGGGTGGCTGGGATTTCAGAGCTTGAGCAAATCCCAGAATGCGGCCATACTGGCTGCCGTTTCATGCCCTTCTGGTGGCTCCTGTGCCTCCTCCCAAGACACAGAGGTCCCCTTTATCGTCATCACTACATTTCCATCTGCAAGAGAAGAGCTGCCTGGCCCCTGTACAAGCCTGAGCCTGGTTAAGTTTTACAGCCACTTGGCTCAACATCATTGGAAGAACAAAGGGAACCCTACTGTTGCAAGACGCTATGTAAAGTCATCAGGAAAAGAATCATTTATAACTAGTTCATATTTTTCTATGAAAACCAAAAATTATAATTTCTGTCAATTACTCCATTTCCCTCCTTTCTGTTTTTTAGGGTAAAACAGCCAGTCGATGTTCATTGCACATTTTCATCCCAACTTCTCAACATAAGTATTTTTAAGCTCTTGATCTTGGGAAATGCTTTTCAATGGCTAAGTCCAAAGAAAATTAGTAAAAAGGCAGACGCAAAAGTTAAAAAGTCACTGAGGAACGTATCACTTACTGATACCATTTAGTTAAAGCAGAATTATTTTTAATCAACCACTTAATAAGTATTTTTCCCATTTTATTAGCATAAATTAATTATGCCTAATTATGAATTTTTACATATTTTCATATATGTATATAATGTATTTTGATAGCATTCACCACCCATTACTCTCTATGACTGCCTTATTCCCACTCTTCCCAACCACTTCCCTTCTACGTTCATGTCATTTATGTGTTTATTTTGAAGGCCTAGTGTATCTAATTAGGATTTCTTGCCAGCAAGGTGTCACTTAAAAGGACAGAGCCACCTTACCAGTGACTACACCACTAGGAAATGCTCCCTTTCTTCTCCAGCCACCACTGAACACTCATGGAGCTTTTGGGGGATGCAGGAAGAACTCTTAAATAAAACAGAAGCAAAGATGCGCAGATGCCGCAGTCCTTCTGTTGGGAAACACTGAGGAAGGCTGCTTACCCAGGGTACTCTGGAGTAGAGCTCCTGGGAAGTAGAGCCAGGGGAAGAAGGCTGCTGTGGAAGAGGGGCGGCACAATCTCGGCTTCTGTGAGCTCATTTTCAGGGTTCTCGTCTTAGTCACTTTGTATTGCTGTGAGAAGAAGTCACAACCAGGACAATATATAGAAGAAGAGTTTCATTTCAGTTAGCGTCTATGGTGGTGGAACATACGAGTGCTGAGAGCTCTCATCTCAGTCCACAGACAGGGGCAGAGAGAGAGCCTTGGGAGTCACACAAATCTTCTGAAGCCTCAAAGCCCACCTCCAGTGATACATGTTCTCCAGCAAGGCCACACCTCTTAATCCTTCCCAAGCAGTTCCACCAACTAAGGACCAGGTATTCAGATATGTGAGCCTACGGGGGACCATTCTCATTCAACCCACCATAAATCTTTATTGACTATTGAAAAGTCCCATGCAGATTAGATTTCATAATGCTCAAATGAGTAGCATCTCCATGCAGTAAGCACTGACTTGGCCTTCACAAGCCCTCCAGGGGCAGTTGCAGGAGACATAGATTCATGCTTATTTGTTCCACGTTTTGATATGTGGTCTGTCATAGACTGGCACTTAGAAAGAGATACAGATCTGGCAACAGTTTTTTACAGAGTGATCTAAGTAGAACTATACCAATAAAGTTTATTTAAGTAGCAATGGCATCAAATACTGTTAAATATTAATATAATGCTATTTGTAAGCATGAGTCTTGCATGTCGAAGTTTATCATAAGAGGCCCATGTTCTTTCCACCCTGACAGATGAGGCAGTTGAGTGGCAGAAGTTTGTGATTTATTTACTCCGTGTCACAGAACTAGAGAACAGGAAATCCGAGGCTACATTTTAGGAATTCTGTTGGATCTTGGGATCTCTCTCTTGGTCTCTCACTGACTTAGCATTAAGAAACAGTAAATGCCGTGGGCTGTTGTTCAAGCAGAAGAGAGATGAGAGCACAGTCTCCAACGTAACTATTGTTGCTGTTGTTCTCTGTGCCTGGCTTTGAACACAGACAGTAGCTGAATACAAATGGTGGTGTTGTCGGTGCTCTTCCTGGCTCACTCTTGGGGCATTGGGAGAGCTGCACAAAACCTTGGTTTTATGTGCTGTCTGTTCTGACGGGAAGTGCAGCCAAGAGGCCCTCTGCTGAACCACAGAGTAGCTGCTCGCTTCTGGGAAGAACCACAGCCACAGCCGATAAGAACTCAGAAGAGGTGTGACTTATTTTGATCAAAGGTGTCAAGAGCTCAGAAGGCAGGGGTGAGGCTGCCACCAGAGAGTGGGTGAGATGTGTGCTTTTGAAACTCAAAGCCCTTAGCTTTAAACCCCAAAGATGATATGCTTGTCAGCTTCAGTAGACGTTCACAGTGAGCAGAAAGCCAAAAGGACCAATTCAATGAAACACACTCAAAAGGCAAGTAAAGGAAATAACGAGAATGACCACCAAAGAACAATTGCACGAAACCTTCCAGTGCAAGAAATTTCCCAGCAATATATTGATATATAGAAATCATTTGTAGGTAGGGTTTTTGTTTGTTTGTTTGTTTGTTTGTTTCTTAAGAGTAGATTTATTGGAGTAAGCAATAAATGATAGTAACAGTGGGACTTCCATCGGCAGATCCACTATGCAAGAGACCATGTTGGTATGCTAAAGAGAGAAACAGAGACAAGGACTTTTGATGCACTCTAAAGGTTCAGCAATGAGCAGAGTGCCTCAAAAATTGTGCAGGCGAAGTAAGCTGTGGCTGTTTGGTTCCACTCGTGCTGTTATTTACGGTTCTGTGTTGCTTAAGCCGTGTGGTTTCAGTAAGGACAATATAACAGCAAAATGCTGGGCAGGAATAAAAAGACCCCTAGTTTGGCAAGAAGTGAAGAACTTGCATAGTCCCCCAGCATTGCTTGGTTATCAGAACTGGACTTAAACCAGGCTAGTTTCCTTTCAAAGCGCCTGTGTTTTCTATCTCCTTCTGTTTCTATAAATACGGAGCTCTGCTAGCCTTTGGAAGGTGATAATTGCATCTATAAATTGCTTCGCTTTCAAGTTTCAAATTTAAGCTGTGTTACCTTTGTCCTAGTGGCCCTGCAAATTGCAGAGGTACCATTGCAGAGTGTAAACACACCCTTCTCCTCTGCCTGTTTTCTTGGTCACTGAGTAGGTTGGGGACAGTCTGGAGCCCTGGATATTACCATGTATCACTCACAGGGCTGCGTCTTTTTTACCCTAGCAGTAGCTGCAACCTGTGGCAGGCAGGCCAGCAGTTTTACCCATCTCTGCTGAGTGAGGTATTTTTTGATCCCACTTAGTGGTTGATTTCAAGAAGTAGAAATTAAAAAAAAAAAATCCAAGAAAATTCACTATTTCAAAATCAGAGGGGGGAGAAGGTAGGAGAGCAATACCAGACGTATTAAGAAAAGGAGTTAAAAACCAATCCCTCTAATTCTTTTTCCTTTTCCAAAACTAGGGACTGCTGTGTGAGAGGAGAAAATACCCCAGTAAACATGGCATAGTGTTGGAGCTGCAACCAGACCCGACTGTGTCAGAGAAAAGTTCTTAGAATGTGTGGCCCCTGGGCAGCAATTACCCAGTCCTTATCCGAGTTGCTTTCTCCCAGGACAGGACTGAATTCCAGACAGAGGGCACTTTAACCCCTGCCTGCTTCCTCTTGTGCTTGAGCTGTCTGGTAGGGTAATCACTCTTCCTGTTTCCCCAGGGTGGAGGACTGGAGGAGGCCAGTTCTAACACAGGTAGGGGAGGAACGTGAAGAGTGCATTCAGACATTCGTCTTAACCCAGCCAGAGTCAACAAGAGACCTCTTAGTTTCCCGGCTGTGGCCCACATTCACTGCTAGATGCAGGAGTGTGAATGAAAGCCCAGGGGTTAATGGCTAGTCAGAGTCCCCGCAGACCCGGAGCTGTGTGCCGACGTATTCACACGCTGGATCTGGGATCTCCGAGCACTCGAGACTTGCATGTGCTGCAAATGTGGTCAGTGGAAATGAACTCTCAATTCAGCTTGGCAGCACGTGACTTCCTATTTCTGTAAGGTACTTCCAAGAGACTTCCTCTGTAAAGCCAGCTGAGGTCCGGGAGATTTCCTTCGGCGGCGAGTAGGCAAAGTTTGTTTCAGCTCTGGACAGAAGTTTGCCCTAAGAGATCGAGTGAGGTGTTTTTCTTTCTTTTTCTGCTGTTGCCAGCGTGCAAGGATCTCGTGGCTCCCGTCTGTGATCGGAAACTGAACACAGTTGTGCAGATCTCAGTCATCCATCCGGTGGAGCAGACCCTGACAAGGTACTCCAGCACGGAGATTGTGGAGGTGAGCCTGGCACGGTTTCTCTCGCCTGTCTTCTCACTCCCTCTCGCTGCGCCGCTCTTGTCCCTGTGCATCGTGCATGCCGCTCCCCCCCCCCACCTCTCTCCCGCCCCTCTGAACAGCTGACATAAGTTAGCCTGTGGTCTCTGGTCCTGCTGTTGCTTTCGTCTGTCATTAAGGAGCACAGATCTGAGGTTTTGAAGCATATGCAGAATAAACAGATGGGAAGGAAAGAATTTGACTTTCCTTTGAAAGGTTTTAGCTTTCTTCCAACGAAAACTTTCCACCATGAATTGCAAGAGAACAGGATACTTGCCTGACTATCTCTGTGTCTATGTATATGATCTACTGTCTATATTGATTTTAAGGAGAATGAACATATTTAGTGATGGAAAAAGTTTAACGTACAGAGTTTAAAAACAGGCGAAGGGGATTTTGCTCTTTATAGTTTTTCCAGCCCAGTAGTGAAAACTGTATTCTCTACTATGTGTCTTTCAAAGCACAGTGTTTTCCAAAGAAAGGAAGGTGATTAACTTGATTAGCTATAATGTTTCCGGGCAAAATGTGTAAATGTTACTCATGGGATGAGAGATTTCCTATTTACATTTACTATTGCTAATGCGACATTCACCAGGTATCGGGAAATTCATTATTGTGCTGGCTCACATTCGACGGGACAAGTTTCCCTTTAGATGGTTTTGTTCTCCCGACACATTTCAGGACATCAGTGAGTGACAGATACTTATCTGAACATCTGGGGCTCTGGAGAGTGTCCCTGCAGCTCCTTCGGCTTCTCTTGTTTCTCTTGTGCCCCACTGTTGAGAATGTGGAGTTTCTCTGTCTGAACGTAGGCAGTCTGCTCTAGCCTCAACCGGCTTAGCTCACCGTTTGCTTTGAAGCAGTAGATGGAACCGATGATTCAGACTGCAGGAGAGTCATTTCTATTCTGGGAATGGCCTAAATCCTGTGTGTAACCCGCGTCTGCTCCTTCACGCAGGCCTGAATCTGCCCTTTGGAGACTTTAAGTTCTAAAGCCGGTACAATATATGGTTAGCTCATAGTTTAATTAAAAGTAGATAAAGTCATTTTCTTAATGAAAAGACCTCAGGTATTATTTTTAAACATTGCCAAATTTCAAAGTAACTTGATTTTGCTTTTATTATTTTGTTCTACTACTCTCATTTATTCTCCTGTGATAAAACACACATAATTTGAAATCTATTATCATAACTATAAAAGTAAATTATGTTGACTTTTATATAGAATATGCATAATTTTCTTAGCTGTTTTATTTACTGCCTGTCTCCAAATATGTCTGGCCAAGAAAATACCATTTTGTGAGTTCGAGGCCAGCTTGGTCTACAAGAACTAGCTCCAGGATAGGCTTCAAAGTTACACAGAGAAACCCTGTCTCAAAAAACCAGAGAGAGAGAGAGAGAGAGAGAGAGAGAGAGAGAGAGAGAGGACCATTTGCCTTTTGAAGAATAAAAAGATGAGTAAATTAGTACCACAGACTTTCAGAAGTTTTAGTAGACTATTGGCTTACAGACTTTTCAAAACATTTTCAAATATATTTGGCTGCACGTGTGTGTGTAAAATGCCGTGTTAGAGACCAGCTTTTTAACGGTGGTTCCAAGGCCCTAAAATGTCTTGGTGACCACATTCCAAGCAATAATTGCTTTTCCCAATCTATCAGGTTTAGACGACTTCTCACTAGTTTTCAAGTTTGTTTGTGGACTGAAAGGTCACCGTTAAACATCTAAAAACAATCACACACTTATAGAGCCTAGCTTTCTATTGAAGCAAAGTAAGAAAAAAAAATTTTAAAGAAATAGCATAGCATTTACCAATGTTTGAAGAAAATAGCTTCATTCAATTTGGCGAGGTGGTATCTTAGATTATTTGTCTCAATAATAAATATATATGTAGTATTTTATATGTGTGTGTGTGTGTATATTCAAATGTGCTGGCAACTTGTTCTAAAAATAGGTTCTGATTACAACTTTTAAAACTGAGTTTACTTTAAAGTCCTTAGTCACTTAAAAAATGCAAGTTTACCTACTCAGTAGCCATCAGTACAGCGGTGCCCTGGGCTCACGGCCCACAAGCAACACTTGGCTCTTCAGATCTCTCTTTTCACAGAACTGTTCCTAGAAAAGCAGGCAAAGACACACTCTCTGTGTTCTCATTTGTCCCTGCATGCTGCCAGCTACAGTTGCTGCCTTACTGAATCCGAGTTATCTGCTTATGCTCTTTCAGGGAACAAAAGACCCACTGTTTTTGACGGGCGTCACATTCCCATCCGAGTACCCCATCTATGAAGAGACTAGAATAAAACTGACAGTCTATGATGTCAAGGATAAGTCTCACGACACTGTAAGTACTTGAACTTCTTTCTCTGGGAATAGAGGGTGGGTTTTAGACTTTGCCAAACTGTTGGACTTTGGACGCTACCAGAATTTTTAAACAGGGCTGTTTGGACTGCACTTATGTTTGTCTTGTGGCTGTACTTTACTGTGTGTTGTTCAAACTCATTTGGCTTGTTCCCAGCATGGCAATTAGCTAGGGACAAAGACTTGCTGAACAGACCTATCTCTCTTTCCTAAGAAGGCTGATTTGATCTCTTGGCTTAGATATTTGCTGCAATTTTAAGCTGATCAGACGATAATTTGGGTGAAGGAACAGATTAAATAATAGTCCATTTTTTAAGATATTGTAACTGCCAAAAACTGAAGTCTGACGGTATTCCACTCTCACTCTTTGTCTTCTTATACTGCGTCTAGAGAAACTATTTTTTCCCTGATGTTGTTACTACCCAATGTAAGAGTTCGTGGAAACTCTCAACTGAGTCTTACTCAGCTCTTTTACACCAAGGACTTGCAAAGTCTCAACAGCTTTTTGTCCTAGATACTCCAAGATTCCTATCCAGTTTGATTTTCTTGTTGAATGAGTCCTCTGTCTTGGTTAGGCATTTAGGTGTCCTGATACAGTCCATGAAGATGTGACTTATAACTCCTGACCAGGTCCTGACGCTGCTGGTGGATACCGAGAAAGGGAAGCTGACCTTCCCCTTCAAGTATCTGTGATAATATGGAGGTCTGTGTGTTTTTAAGGCAGCAGAATGATGGGATTTTAATACTCAAATATGAAGCAAGAGGCATGGAGGAGTTTTGATGGCACTTTGACCAGAAAGTTCCAAGGAGGGCTCTGGTTGAAACCAAAGGAGGAGAATGAGCTTGAAGAACCACTCAAGGGTTGAAGTGTGCCCCCCCCCCCCACACTCTGCCTTACTTTGGCCATAATAACTCTATACAGTGTAGTAGAAGGAGCTCACATGTACTGGTAAGGTTATTTAGTAGAGGAAACATATATTAAAGAGATTTATGTATGTTTATATACATCAAACCAAGAAGATTCACTTCTTATAAATTATGAAATAAATGCCCCATTAAATGTAGGCATATTCAGGGGCTAGTAACAGCCATAGCAGTCATTAAAAAAGAGAGTTCCTTGCCCAGGATTCTGGATTTATTTCACCTACCAGCCTTGTGTTTAAGAGAGCTTGGTTTCTATATCTGCTCCTCCCTGAGGCATTGTTATAAGGAGAAAATGAGTAAATGTGTGGAAACTGTTTAGGATCCAGCATATGCAGACACATGAGCAATTAGTAATTACTATTATTGTAATCATCATTTTGCATAATAGTTCCCCATAACAGGTAAAAGCCAAATAAAAACCTGATGAACAAAAGCATTTTCTGTATTTAGTAGCTTTTCTCTTAAAAAAATTTTTTTTAATTGAAAGAGAATTCTAATTCAACTGCTGTTCATGTGAATCTGACTTTAGGGCGACCACTCTATGTTGCATGGTCAGTAAGGTAGGTCTTCCTGGGAGAGGCTAATTCTCTTTCTCTCAGAAGTTGTTAGTTGCCTATAGTTCTTTGTCTAGGCATGAGACTTTCAACTTCTTCCTTGTCCCCACAAACTTCTGGCAGTTGAGAGAAAGAAATGGGTGGAAAATCACCCAGTGAGGAGTGAGAGAGGAGCTGGTTCTAATGGAAGGTGGGCAGCCATGTTGCATCTGTACCGGGAAATAATGATCTGAGGATGTGAATGGAGGACAAGGAAGGGGAGCAGAAACAGTTGGCTTCACGTCATCACACACATAATTAAAGTCAGTCCTGCCGTAATGCCCGAGTACAAACAGAAAGGACAAAGATTGTGAGTAGGGTAGAGTTTTAGGAATATTATGCTTCAGAAATTTAGGTTTGTCCCCAAGAGTTATGGCTGCTAAATTTTAGAAATATCAGAGGTTTCTTAGCTACTTTTGTTGTCTCAATGGCAAAATACCTCATGGAAGCAACTTAAGGGAAGAAAGGTGTACTCCTCACTGTTCGGGCATACTGCCCATCAGACCAGGGAAACCAGAGCCATAGTGGCGAGCATCTTGGTCCAGGGTGGCAGGAATCTACAGCATGGCTTTTTATATCTTGGCAGAACAATAAAGAGAGAGAGAGAGAGAGAGAGAGAGAGAGAGAGAGAGAGAGAGAGAACTGAAGTAGTCTTAGTACTGGGTTATAATCCCAAAAGGCCTACTCCTACACTTCTAGTGGTCTATGCCTGAAGTACATGTCCAAAATGTCCCACAATCCCCAAGATCTAGGGCCCTAACTGGAGCAGGGTATTCACACACATGAACCTGTGGTATATAGTTTACACTGAAACCTTAACCCAGTATTAACCACGCAAAGTGGCTTCATCTTCTACAATCCCGTCTACTTAAAATGCATGCATTTATTAATCCTCGTCAGGTAAACAGCTCGCTTAGTCATCCGTTATCCTTTCTGTTTGCTTTGTTGTGAAAACCCATTCTGTGGAGTCCTTTAAAGACCTTCTTCTTTGACTGGCAGTGTTCTCATGTTGGCGTATTGGGTGAACTGGAAACTCCAGCTGTAGAATAAAATGTGGGAAACTTGAACATATAAGAGATGCAGCCGGCTGTCATTCACCAAACGCTGTCAGCTAAAGCAGAACCTGTTCCTTCCTGGTGATGGAAGTGTGAAGAGAAACACAGTTCATTAATATGCTAATAGTCCCCAGAGATACATGCAACACTGCATCTCTTCCCACCATCTCTTGAGGTTCCCTTTGGGGTGGGGAGAGGAAGTAGGTGGGCTATATTACAGCTTATACGTGCTTAACAACCTAAGTGCTTTAGATTCTAATATTTCTAGACAAAAGGAAGGAGACTGAATTTGTGTATGTTTGGGGAGATTGGTGATTATATACATATATTTTAAAGTATTTTAACTATGGTGCCAGCAACCTTTAGTCATATTAGACTTGGAATAGTCAGGTCTTCTTGATTCATTTGGCCGAGTCCTCTAGTGGGCTGAAGCCGAAGACTTGGTTGCTTGTGTCTTCCTGTGGAGTTTATCCTTGCTCAGAGCTAACAAATCGGATACATGTGACAGCTCACTGCTTTATGCTGCCTTGCAGACATACTTGTGTTAGATGCTACTAGAGAGAAAAGGTGATCTTCTCCTCTGGGTGTTCTTGCAATGCACAATGTTACCTAGCTGTTCTTACATTCTTCTGATCAACTGGACCTAAGATTGGTTAACTCAGTGACTCCCGCAGAAACGCAATTAATCTTCATAACAAATGGGAGGAGTCTGAGTGTTGCTTCAGAGTGACTGTCCCTCACCTCGTTCATAATGCTTTCTGAGACAGTTAGATGGTGACTGTTGGGCTGTGAGTCTAGGAGGAAGACAGGAACTATCAAGATCATTATCAAGAGTTTGTAGCATTTTGGTTCTTCCCTCATTATGAAAAAAAATATTTTTCTGAATGGGTTGTTTAAATATGCCGCTGCTTGGTAGGGATTTAATGCCTGAAATAGAAATGCATGGGCTAGGTATAAAATCTCCTGGGACCTGAAATGTATTTTTCAGAATGTTATTTACAATAATCAGCCTCAGGGACAAGCAGGGAAGGCGGGTCTTTCATATTACTGTGGAAACTTCTGAGCAAGGAGAAACTTGTGGCAAAGAATATCAGTATCAAAAGTGGTTTCTCTTCTTTCTCATGCAAGCTGGGGTGTTGGAAGTCACTGAATGAAGTTCCTTTTGCCCTGCTGAGGAAGGCTGTCCAATCAGCTAGCGTATGATTAGGTCAGGCATTGCTTCTACCTGTTGTTGAAATGTGAATTTCTGCCCTGTTTAGCAGAAGTGTTCACTGACCTGCTTTTTGCTCCGGAGGTAAATAATTCTTTTCTCTATCTCCGACTGAATTAGTTCATAAGAGAATCTGGTGTGTAGTGGACACTAGACAATCCCGTGGTTAGGAGATAGAGCCTACCTCAATTTAAAAACCGCCAGTCACTGCTCTCACTGTCCACGAAAGCCTTACAGAACATCAACAGCACCAGCCACAGTGCCTGTGAATGTATTGCTTCCTGTGTTCTCTGCCCCAGGTGGATACAGTTAGTACAGATCAATCCCTAGACAAAAGGACTCTGTTCTCTCATCTCTGGTGTCTGCACTGGCTCTCTCTGAACATTCAGTCTAACTAGTTAAGACACAGACCCTGGTATCAGGGAACGGCAAGAGGCGGAGGGAAACGGAAGGCAGCTAAGGCTGCCGACCCCTGAAACTCTCTTGTGCACTCCATGCGTGCTCCCTTAAGTCCCTTAAGTGTGCTACCACTGTGCTCACCCTGAAGATGCAGCTGGTGTCTGGAGAATTTCAGGCCATGTTAAAAGGCTTTCAGCTCTCCAGGCTCGGCTAGAGTGCTGTGCTACAGGCATTGGTGGTTAGCTCTCCTTCACTCTCCCCCCACACAAGGTACATTTCCATTTCAACAGATGTGTTAAGAACACTCTTGTCAAAGAGCTTAAAAGCTTATTATTTAAAAAAAAAATCAGTGTTCACAGACAGGGAAAGTATATAACCCAAATAACCCAAATTTTAAGCACTTATAACAATCATATTCATATACACATATATCAAATGTTCATATATATATTTGATTGACATTTAGTTGTTTCTACTATTTGACAACAATGAATGAAATATCAGATATCTGTGCTTTTATTATTTTTAATATATATGGAGGAGCATAATTGTTAGATGATAGGGCAGATTCATATATTTATATGTATATACATATATATAATATTATAATATATATAACTAAAGGAAAGTAAAACATAGTGGGCAAGACTATTTGTGAAATTTCTAAGTCTATAGCCAAACTTTTGTGTTTTCCACTTGACCTTGTTTTTCTGTTTGTTTTGTGTTCTCTCTCTGTGGGCCTGTCAACACGCCCCTTCTCTCAGGCTTGGCCTCTGGGAAGGCATGGTTTACAATGGGGCTG